ATACAAAAAGTTGGGTCGAAAAAATGCAATGATTATTTGTTTCATGATGAAAGTAGAACAAATAGAATGAATAGATGCAACTATAAATGCATAACCGTAAGCTGAAAAAATACGACTATAATTGAACAAATAGAACTATCCCAAAAAATAACCGTCAATATTTTAACGAAAAGATGCGATAAAAAGACACAACTTAGAAAAATAACCATTAATATTTTAACGGAAAGTTGGATAAAAAGACAGGAACAAAAACAACTAACCGTGAATATTTTAATTGAAAGTTACGATAAAAAGACACAACCAAAAAAATAACCGTCAACGAAAAAGTGATCGTCAATATTTTAACGAAGAGTTGCGATAAAAAGACATAACCCGAGAAAAATAACCGTCAATATTTTAACGAAAAGTTGCAATTAAAAGACACAATCCGAGAAAAAATAACCGTCAATATTTTAACGAAAAATTACAAAAAAAAGACACAAACGAAAAAAGTAACCGTCAATATTTTAACAGAAAGTTACGATAAAAAACATAACCGAAAAAATAACCTTCAACAAAAAAAGTAACCGTCAATATTTTAACGAAGAGTTGCGATAAAAAGACACAACCAAGAAAAAATAACCGTCAATATTGTAACGGAAAGTTTCCATAAAACGATACAAACGAAAAAAGTGGCCGTCAAGATTTTAATAGAAATCTGCGATAAAAAGATACAACCGAAAAAATAACCATCAACGAAAAAAGTAACCGTCAATATTTTAACGAAGAGTTGCGATAAAAAGACACAACCGAGAAAAAATAACCGTCAATATTTAACTGAAAATTGCGATAAAAAAGACACACAAAAAAGAGTAACCGTCAATATTTTAACAAAAAATTACAATAAAGAGACACAACCAAAAACATAACGTTCAACGAAAAAAGTAACCGTTAATATTTTAACGAAGAGTTGCGATAAAAAAATACAACCGAGAAAAAATAACCGTTAGTATTTTAACGGAAAGTTGCGATAAAAAAAAAAACAAAACCAAGAAAAATAACCGTCAGTATTTGAACGGAAAGTTGTGATAAAAAGACACAAAAAAACAATAACCGCCAATATTTTAACGGAAAGTTAGAATAAAAAAACACAATCGAAAAATAACCATCAACAGAAAAAGTAACCGTCAGTATTTTAACGAAGAGTTGCGATAAAAAAAACACAACCGAAAAAATAACCGTCAATATTTTGACGGAAAATTACGATAAAAAGGTACAACCGTTCATAAGTGCAAAAGGCATTTATTGAGATTGCTATTATATATAGATTATGTGTTTGAATGACATTGAGCGGAAGAAAAGAAATTAATGCATAATATTTATGATTTCAGTTATAACTTGGTATTAAAATGTGAATTTATATATGATTAAGTTTGTTGTATATGTTTTCTAATTGCAAATTAATATATATATATATATATATATATATATATTTGGAAAATGAATTGCCAAGTGGACGAAGAAGAAAGTGAAACTTATATATATATATATGATTTTTACTTTCCCAATATATGATAACTTCTCATAAAATTATTGATAAATTATATTTTTTAGCGGAGGGATAGGAGAAGAGATCGACTACAAGAAAACACGTGACTAGCGACGATATTTAGCGACTGATAAATTAGTCGCTGAATTTGAGGACTGAATTGCGACATTTTGGTGACTGAATGTGGCCTAAATAACATTAGTCGGTAATCCGTCTGCATTTGGCGACTGATAAAAATAGTCATTGTATAGTCGCCAAATTAGGCGACTAAGTAGCTTCTGAATGTTTAGTCTCCAAAGTGGGCTACTAATTAGCCACGTTATAGCGACTATAATTTCTTATTGGGCCTTTTAATTGGACTCGATCCATTTAACTTTCCGCGTTGGCCCATTCTATAAACATCCTATTCTCTCCCCATAAACCCTAATTCCGCATTTTTCTAACCGTAATCCCAAATTCGATTATCTCCCGACGAACCCTAACCCTAACCTTTGATTTCTCTCCGAATCGACCAATTTCTTCTCAATTTCTCTCTAAATCGACCCCTAATCCCTCTCAGTCTCTCCGATTCTCTCTCAATCTATCTCAATCTCTACAAATCTCTCGAAATCTCTCCGATTCTCTCCAAATATCTCGAAATATCTCCGATTCTCTCCAGTTCCTCGTCGATTCTCCTTCTTTTATCCCAAATCGATGGCTCTTCGTGTTCGTGGTGGAAAATCCAGAGTAAGAGGAAGATGAAGGGGATCGAAATCTCTGGCGAAGCGAACCACTGTCCCAACTCGACCCACATCTTCCAGTGTGTCGAGTCGAAGACCTAGAAGCCTTCCGTCGCAGTACGACTTCACGCCGGCGAACCCTCAAGATCCAATTCCAGAGACTGAGCAACCTTCGATTCGCCAGCCTTCATCGCAACTGAGTCTGAGAGACTATCCACCACCTCAGCAGCTTTTCCAGTCGGGCGAAGGATCTCTGCATGCATCTGGTGGAACTCCTCGATGCTCTGGATCGACCATACTACAGTTGGAGTTGTGTGCCAACCAGAAGAGAAAGATACTTTCTTCAATTCGCGGTAAACTTATATCCCTCTTCTAATTCTGTATTTTCATACTACAATTTTGTTTTTTTGATAACTAACATCTGCTTCACTCTCATCTTGTTTTGTAGAAACAACACACCTGGCATCCCTCACTGATAGTTGTGGTTGAAGCCAAGTTCTATAAGATCATTGCACTACGAATGAAAGACATGGTTTATAAGGCAAGGACAAAAAGACTGAGGCCGTATTGGATTGAGAAAACTTTGTGGAAAGAGATGTGTCAGTATTGGAATACTGAAGAAGCAATAGCCAAGAGTTCAACCACATCAGCTGCTAGGATGTCTGACTGTAATGGTCTTGGTCCTCACAAACATGTATCTGGTCCAAAGTCCTTTTTACAAGTGGAGCAAGAGATGGTAAGTTACATGTCTGTTTTAAATACTTGTTTTGTTTAGTTACATTCTAACATCTCTGTTACTATATTTCAGGAAGTTGAATTGGGAAGACCTCCTACTATTGAAGAAGTGTTCATCAGGACTCATACCAAGAAGGATGGACATTTGTGGATAGGAAGGCGCAAGAAATCCATGAGGCATATCTCAAGAACAAGGCAGCTAAGTTGGCTGCCCTTCATGAGAATGATGAACAGCCTGATGGTACTACTATCTAATGAAGAGGATAATGAGATATTTCTTCAAGTAATACTCTTGTCTTTTGGTCTGTATTCTACTTTTATCATATTCAGTTTGTGATCACCTGTTAAGCACTAATGTTTTTACTTTGTTTTGTAGTCTACTGTCACAAATGATAGAGGGGAATACTTTGGAGTTAGAAGCTTAGGGGTTTACATCAACGGGAAGCGTAAGTATGCAGGAAGCAGCTCTTCTTTCACAACCCTGTAGTCACAGCTTGAGGACGCTAACCGCAAGATAGACGAACAAGCAGCTCTACAAGTAGAACGTGAAGCAGAGGTATTGCGGGTCGCAGCATCACAAGCAGCTGAGATTAAGCACTTAACGATGGTGAAGAAGTACTTGAGTGAAACTGACCCTAATTTACTGGCCTTCCTCAAGTCCCAATCAACTCCTGCTGCGGATGATCATTCAGAGGTCCAAGCAACTCCAACTCCTGCTGCTAATCCTCATGGTACTACTCCTACTACTTAGCTTTTTCTCCTCTTAACTCAAAAACTTGAACTTGATCTTTGGTTTGTACTTATGGTACAAGTATGTTTGTATTGTATGTTTGTGAACTTGATCTTTGGTTTGTACTCCTGTATGTTTGTATGTTTATTAAGCACTTCTTCTTTTAATTCAAAAGTTCTTTTTTTGTATGTTTGGTTTTGATTAGTAAATGCTAATTCGTAATTGGAATCAAAATAAGCAGGCCAAATCAATTAATAAACCTCTAATAAGTCGCAAAATAATAGCAATTCAGTCACCAAAACATTCATAAAACAGTCGCCTTGTAGTGGCCTTTTTATCGCTTCCTCAGTCACCTATTAGTCGCCAAATCAGTCGCCAATTAGTGACCTATTTGTAGCAAAACAGTCGCTCATTTAGCGACTCAGAGGCGACCTAATGGCGACTCCCAATAGTTGTCGCAGATTGGTCGCTAAATAGCGACTATTAGGCTACCATTAATTTTAGCGCCGCAGTGTTCAGCGATAACGTGTATTATTCGCTAGTGACTCATTAGTTACGGTTATTGTAGTCGCTAAATCCATATTTTCTTGTAATAAGAGAGATTGTAGCGATTTACTGTATCTGAGTGCAACACAAACAATATTTCTATTCTGTTAAGATTCACTTCTCTATATAAAATGTAGAATCAACTATTAAATTTGCCAAAATAGAGAAATTTGATTGTTTAAAAGTTTTTCATAAAGTTTTTTTGTATGAATTTTGTTGTTATGTTATAGTTTAACACTATCTCCCGACTGGAAAACTGCTGAAATGTTTTTTAATTTAACAAAAATTTATTTAGCAAATAAACGTACGATCTATAAAGACAGTAGCATTTTTTTTTTTTGATAAACCCTATCGGCTATCCGGTCGGTTCCGGTAGGAGCGCACCGAGGTGCTACATAGTGGACTGGTCCACCGTGTTAACGGTTAGGCCCTTACGGGCTACCACTCTGCGTATCCCGAGTTTGGAATGCCTTCCGACTAAGTGTCAGGAGGTAGTCAGGCCGCCTGCATTTCTGGCTACCAGGTAAACCAATTGGGCCAAGGCGCAACTGACAGACTTCCCAAACAAATGTGTTTTTTGTTTCCAGGGAGAATCGAACTCAGGTTTGAGAGTTTCACCCTTTCCCAAAGCTTCCTCTGCCACTAGACCACGGATGCTTGGGCAAGACAGCAGCATTTATCAGACGTACGTATACATTAGATACAGATATACGAACGTATGATATGTTCGATTTGTTTGTTTGTTTGTTTTGTCACCTTCACAAAAATTGGAACGATACAGAGAAGATTAGCATGGCCCCTGTGAATGGATGACACGCTTAATTCAAGAAATGGTCCAAATTTTTTGAGAAGTCCTTGATGGCCTAGTGGTTTCAATGTGACTTCTCACACACGACTGCCAGAGGTCACGAGTTCGACTCTCTGTCGGCGGGGTGGAACTGAAACCTCTCCAAATAAAATCCTGTTGTAGATGGCCCACGGGTTTCTATGACGTATATAGGATTTTCCTGGATATGGGGCCTTTCGGGGTGGGGTCAGTCACTATAAAAAGTTTACCCTAACAGTTTTTAAACGATATAAAAAAGGTCTGAGCGCGTGTCTTGTGATTTAAAGGCGATTAGAATTTCCTAACCCTAATAGCCGCCGTCTGCCGGCCTTACGCCGGTGGATGAGAATTCGCCGATGGCCAAGAAGAAGAAGAAAGGCTCACGGCGTCCTCGGCCCAAATTACCTGGTTCCTCTCAGTTTGCACGTTTGTCATCGGTCGTTGGTATCTCTGTAAAACCTCGTGACTCCGCTTCTGGGGATTCTCCGGCGACCGTCTCGGACCCCGGCTCCTCTTCTCCCAGAACTGTTGAAGTGGGAGCTCCTCCGGTAGCGTCAGTTGCTGCTCCTCTGACTTCACCTTCTGTCTCCTCTCCAGATCTAGCTTCGCATGTTGCCTCGATTTCTGGAACGCGAAATTTTCCTCCCTCTCCTTCAGAGATCTTGCCGCCACTCATCTCCGGACCTCCTCTTGTCACCGTTGAGGCCTCTGCCTCCGGTCCTGCTTCTCCGGAAATTGATGGCGTCGCCTCTCCAGGTCATTTCACGTCGGCTCAACCTACGGAAAAAGCTCTCTTGGGTTTAGGAAAAAAATGGACAAGTCTCTTCGACGATTTATCTCAACTTCAAGAAGTTGGTTCCCCGACTACGCATATCTCCGGTGTCCCGTTTGTTCTAATTCCTGATGACAACATTGCGGCGGCCAGAGAGGAATTCAAAGACTTCATTTTTGCTCAGTTTCAAGGAAACCCTCCAGAGATGGGTAGAGTGATTGGTGTGGTTAATGCTCTTTGGGCGCGCTCGGGACCTCGTATCTTTGTTCACAACATTGGTCCTGGTGCTTTCCTTCTTCGCGTTACAAATCCTCGGACAAGAGCCATTCTCCTTGGTCGTAATGTATGGAACATTGCTGGCTTTCCTATGTTCGTATCTCCGTGGTCACCGGAATTCACTCCAGACTCTCCTCCTATTACCACTGCAACCATCACTGTAGAATTACGAGGTGTTCCCTACCTTCTCTTCAACAATCAGAGTCTTAGCAGACTCGCCACTGCTGTTGGTAAACCGATTGGTCTTGCTCCGGAAACAGCCAGAAAGGAAAATTTCGAGGTTGCTAAGGTGATGGTCCGGGTTGATCTCACAAAATCTCTTCCAGCAAAGATCATCTCAGGCTTCTCTAATGGTCGTGAAGTGGAGATTGATGTCTCCTACCCATGGCTCCCTCCGAGATGCTCTGAATGCAGCGCGTATGGGCATGATTTTCACCGCTGCCCAACAAGACCTGTGATTCCATTGACGCTCAGGAGGAGAAGAACTAGGTCTCGTAGTAGACCGAGAAATCGTCGTCGTTCAAGGCAGGGAAGATCTTCTGATAGAGGAGTTTTGGCTTCTGCTCAGAACTCAAAACTTCTTGTTGCCAAGTCGAAGCCCACACAGCTTGTATGGAAGGTAAAATCTGTGGAGGCTCACGAAATCTCTGAGAGTATGGCTACTCAAGCAGTGGATGACCTCTCAGCTAAGGAGAATTTTACTGTTGCTCAGGAGGAAATTGGTTCGACAACTAAGATTTTAGAGTGGTTGGCTGTTGAAAATTATGGTCTGCCCACTGAAGATGTTACGGTGTCTTCTCCTGCTTTTGACTCAATCTCTATAGAATCACCTCCTCCTGGCAAAGAGGAGCTGATTGCTGGTGAATCAAATGCACCTTTCTTCTTGGTATCTAACAAGAAGAGTGGCCGTAAGGTCACACGGTCACATTAACCAACATTTTATATGTGTTTTGTGTGGAATATAAGAGGTCTGAATAGTTCCAGACGTCAGGACTTTACAAGAGAATGGATCTCCATCCATAAGCCACTTTTTGGAGCGTTTTTGGAAACGCATATACAGCCAATAAATGCAGGAAGAGTAATTAGAGCAATTCCAGTTGGTTGGAATTTTTTGGGAAACTTTGATCATCACAGTACTGCCAGGATTGTGGTGTGTTGGGATCCGTCGGTATCCATCGTGGTGTACCAAGCTTCTGCGCAGTTAATCACTTGTGGATTCTTCATTCAATCCAGGAGCTTAAACATCACGGTTTCTTTTGCTTACGGCCATAATCTTCCCGAGGACCGTGTGTCTCTTTGGGAGGAAATGAAGTGGATTAATGCAAACTCTCCAGTAAATCGTTTTCCCTGGGCAGTGGTGGGAGACTTTAATCAGATTCTAAGGACTTCTCAGCACTCGGAATATCTTTATCAAGTTGTGGACTCCTCTGGCATTGATGACTTTAATTTTGCTTTGCAAGATGCTGAGTTATTTGAAGCACAATCTAAAGGCCTTCCTTTCTCGTGGTGGAATAGTCAAGAGGACAGTCCTTCTGCAAAAAAGATTGATCATGCGCTAATTAACCAATCTTGGGCTTCTTTGTTCCCTGACTCTTATGCAGATTTTCTGGAACCTCTTCAATCTGACCATGCCGCTTGTTTCTTCCACGTCCCATCTATGCATCGCTCTGTTCGTAAACCATTCAAGTTTTTCCAGCATGTAATGGAGCACCCGGAGTTTCTAGATTCTGTCACTCAAGCTTGGAATCCAATCTCTATCCAAGGCTCCAGCCAATTTAAATTGGTGAGATCTCTGCGGAAGCTGAAGATTGTGCTTCGTCTCCTAAATAAACGACATTACAGTGGCATTACTCAAAGGGTCAAAGCTCAAGCAGCTAAGGTTGCAAATCTTCAAAGGCTTTTGCTCTCATCTCCTGATGCGCAGGCTGCAAGAGAAGAGCACCAGGAGAGGGCTTTATGGCAAACTCTTATCTCTGCGGAAGAGAGATTCTTCAGGCAAAAATCGAGAGTAATTTGGCTTCACTTAGGCGACAGAAATACTTCCTTTTTCCATAAATCTGTGTCTCAAAGGGCTGCCAGAAACCACATACACTTCCTCTGCGATCAGAATGATAGAAAAATAGTGGATATTTCTGAAATCAAGACGTTTGCTGCTTCTTATTTTGAAGGGATCCTTGGTAGCACGGATTTGCCTATCTCTCCAGTAACTGTTGCACAGCTCCAGGAGCTGCTCCCTTTCAGATGCACTGATTCCCATGCTCAGGATCTGCAGAAGCCTGTCACCCCTGAAGAAATCAAAACTGTTCTTTTTTCTATGCCTTTGAATAAGAGTCCTGGTCCTGATGGGTTCTCTGTGGAATTCTTTAGAGCTTCCTGGGATTTAGTGGGAAAGGATTTTGTTCATGCTGTCCAGGAATTCTTCCGTAACGGCCGCTTGCTCAAGGATCTCAATTGTACTATCATTGCCCTTATCCCAAAAGTGCCAGAAGCTTGCAAACTAGGTGATTTCAGGCCTATAAGTTGCTGCAATCTTATCTACAAAGTCATATCTAAAATTATTGCCAACAGAATGAAGCCTATTCTTCAAGAATGCGTCAGTCCAAATCAAGCGGCGTTTTTAAAAGGAAGAAGTCTCGGTGAAAATGTCCTTCTTGCTTCAGAGTTGATTAGGAACTATCAAAAGGTTGCTTGTCCCAAAAGCTGCATGGTTAAGGTAGACATTCGGAAGGCTTTTGACACAGTTTGTTGGGATTTTGTTCTCAAAGTTCTTTCAGCGCAGAATTTTCCACCTATTTTTTGTGCCTGGATCAAACAATGCATATCTTCCCCTCGGTTTTCAGTCTCTATTAATGGGGAGCTTGCTGGTTTTTTTCCCGCTGAAAAAGGACTCCGCCAAGGGGACCCAATATCTCCTTATCTCTTTATCATGGTAATGGAGGTCCTCTCAAAGTTGCTAGAAGCTGCAGCCTCTCAAGGAAAAATTCAGCTGCATCCGCTTTGCTCAACACCTCTAGTAACGCACCTTTTGTTTGCCGATGATTTGCTTGTTTTCTCTGATGGTGCAGGGAATTCTTTGACTGCCATCTCTGAAGTGATGATTAATTTCAAACGGCTGTGTGGTCTGGATATGAATCCTTCAAAATCTGAAATTTTCTTTGGTGGCTACTCTGCTTCAGAAGTGGAAGCTCTAAGTGTTTTGTCTGGTATTAAAGTTGGGACCTTTCCCACTAGATATCTGGGACTGCCGCTAAACCCAGCCCGTATCTCCTTTGCAACGCTGCAGCCTTTCATTGAAAAAATCACTTCTAAGCTGCATGCTTGGACTGTTAGGTACTTATCTTTTGCTGGAAAGATACGACTCATTTCCTCGGTCATTTACGGTATGGTGAACTTCTGGAGTGCTGTCTTTAACCTCCTGAAACGCTTCTATTCGAAAGTGGATTCAATTTGTGCTGCTTTCCTTTGGAAGAATAAGGTGGACTCGGCAGTGGGTGCAAGGGTTGCTTGGAAAGATGTATGCAAGCCAAAAGAAGAAGGTGGATTGGGAATCAGGCACCTTGAGGACTTCCAAATTGTTTTCCAGTTGAAGTTAATTTGGAACCTATTTGCAAATGCAGGTTCCTTGTGGGTTGCATGGTTAAATGGAAATGTTTTCCACAGGTATAATTTCTGGATTTTGGAAGAATCTCAAAGGCTTTCAAGAACGGTAAACTGCATGATTAAGTTAAAGCCTCTCCTCAAGGATTTCTTGCGCTGCGAGATTGGAAATGGTCAACGTGCTTCCTTCTGGTTTGATCATTGGTGCGACCTTGGACCTTTGATTGATTTGCTTGGTGTTAATGGTCCAAGACAGCTTCGGATTAGCAAAACTGCTTTGGTGCTTAATGCGGTTCAGAATGGTGATTGGTGGATGCTTGCTGCTCGGTCTGAAGCTCAGCAGTCATTTATGACTCTGCTCACTACCATCCCAC